GAAAATGCCACAAAACTCCTAGAGTTGATGATGAGAGGTGTTAGGCCAAGAGTTTTGTAGGTGTAATGCTGCAAGAACTAGACCCTTATTGACCCTCTAACCCACACAAATGCTAGAGAGAGAGGGAGATACAGGGAGGGAGTGATATATATATAATATCCTTATTCAAGATTTTTCTAAACCTTCTAAAGGGGAAGAGAGGCCCTCTTTTTATAGAGAAACCAAGGGGGCAAGCTTCTCTTTAGAAGCTCTGGAACAAAAGGGCCCAAGCTTCTTGTAGAAGCTAGGCAAAGGGGTCAAGAGGTTTAAGCTTCTTTCAAGAAGCTAAAAAAGGATCAGCTCTTGGAAGCTAAAAAAAGGGTCAAGCTTCTTGGAGAAGCTAAAAAGGGTCAAAGGTTCAAACTTCTTGGAGAAGCTTAGAAGGGTCAAAGGCTCAAGCTTCTTCAAGAAGCTAAAAAAAAAGGGTTCAAAGGCAGCTTCTCAAAGAAAGCTAAAAACAAGAGTTTAAAGGTTCAAGCTTCCTCAAGAAGCTAAAACAAGGGGTTCAAAAGTTCAAACCCCCCTCCAGAAAAGGTCTCGGCCAGAAAAAGTGGCTTAATCGGCCACAAAGTTGGCCGGACCGGCCAAAAATGTGCACAATCGACCATCAACAGTGCGACCGGCCATCACCAGTGGCCGGTGGCAAGAAACAAAGGCCGGTGGGCCTCAAGCATTGGCCGGTGAGGTGTGGGGATGGCCTACAAGCTATTTTCCACCTTCAGAAGCAAAAACAAATAAGTGTTTGATGTAAAACCAAACACAAAACAAACAAGTCTAGAGGTCTTGAGGCAAGGCATGTAGCCGAAACCTCTGAGAACTCAAGACAAACACGAGCAGGGATGATCATCGGTGTTCAAATGATGACGTCCAAGTCTTGAGGACGGTCAAAAATGGTGGTGTCTACAGTATGCCCCTCTTTCGACAGAACTCAAAAGTTCATAAAAATGGACGGACGAGTTGAGTGTCAAAGCTCAGAGACGACCCATTTTTTGACAGGTCGAAGACTTAGACAAACAGCATACAAGCTACTGATAAATAAAATGGTTGTTGCCCGCAAGCTGCCTACGTATCCCTTGCAAGGAATTCAAAACTAACATAGTTCAGGGCAGGATGCAAATGATATGCAAGAAGACTTTGAGAATTGGCCTTATACGTACGCGAAGCAGTTGAAAATTGGACTTATACGCTCGCGAGCCTGTTGGAAAATTGGGACTTATACGCTACGCAAAGCCGGTTGTAATTGGACTTATACGCTGACGCGAAGTCGGTTTTGTAATGGACTTATACGCTTTCGCGAAGCCGGCTTGCATTGGACTTTATACGCTTTCGCGAAGCGATTTGTATCAAAACAATGCAATGTACTAACAAGTACAGGTGAGGTGCGCAAGATAGCGCGAATGAAATGCTATGAATAGTAAGATGCAAAGGGGAACAAACTCCAACCAATGCCGGAATCATGGAGAGGAGGTCCAAAACAAAAATTAGGAGTGCATAACAACGCAACCTAAGTCAAATTCCAAAACACGCGAAATGTGTGAGGCATGAACAAGAGAAAACATAGGCATATCTCCAGTGTTTCGGAAAAATGAGAAGAAACATAGGGACGTATCCCGGGTGCTTTGAAAAAGGAGAAACAATTAGGGACGTATCCAGTGTTTCAGAGTGGTTCAAGGCATTGGAACGTATTCCAAATGCTCTTAACCAAAGAGGAGAAACATAGGGACATATCTCGGTGTTTCGAAGGTATTAAGCATTGGAACGTTATCCAAATGCTCGTAACCAAAGAGGAGAAACATAGACATTATCCCACATGTTTCAGATTGAAGTGAGAAACATAGGGACGTATCCCGGTGTTTCGGATGGTGTGAGCAATTGGAACGTTTTCCGGAAACTTTTAACTGAGAGGGAGAAACATAGGACGTATCCCGGATTGTTCAGAACAGATTGAAAACTTAGGGACGTATATGCCCGGTTTGTTTTCGGAAGGAAGGAGAAACATAGGGACGTACCCGGTGTTCGAAAGGAATAAGAAACATGGACGGTATCCCAATGTTCAAAAAAGGAGAAAAAAAATTAGGGACGTTATTCCAGTGTTTCGCGAAAGAGGAGAAGGAAGAAACGTAGGGAATATTCCCGTGTTTCAAACAAGGAGAAAAAACATAGGGACGTTATCCCCGGGTTTCGGACAGGAAGAGAACTAGGGACGCTTCCTTGGTTTTCGAAAAAGAGAAGAAACATAGGACGTTATCCCGGTTTTGTTTCAGAATAAGAAGGGGAACATAAGGACGTATCCCAGTGTTTCCGAATAAGAAGAGCAGTGACATAACAATGAAGTGGAAAAGTGCGTGACACGCAAGTGAAAAGGTGGCATGACAATGCAAAATTAATGTGCATAACATGCAGGTGTAACGGTGCCAAACAATGCAAGTAAAGAGAGTTGCACGACAATGGCAAAGATAGATGTGGCATTAAAAATGCATCAGTAATGAGCATAACAATGCCAGATAGATGTGCATAACAATGCAACGAATGGTCTGCGTAAACAATGCGAGACAATGGTGTGCATAACGCTGCGATGAATGTGCAACCTTCAAAAACGTGTTTGAAACAAAATGCCGAATAGGAAATACAAGCCTTAACGAGACCAAATCCAACGCGACCTCCGATTTACCTCTCGGAGGGGTTTGTAACACACTCCGCTGAAAGGGGTACACCCCTTGTTTATTGGCGAGATATACATCTTACTCACTGCTTTAATTGCCCATTTCTGACTTTGAAGCAGGCTTAAGATGGAGTAGAGGGCACACTTCATTCTTCGGGGCACTGACAAGGCTGAAGAGGTACATCCGGAAGTACAATCACGGAATTGCTG